GGGTAGCCTTCCCAGCAATTACATGAACCTTTGCTAATTTAGCCTCTCCAACTGGAATGATGCTGCTCACTATTTTATAGACCTCGTGAAGACCCTTAAATGTGCCTTCATTTGTTAAATAAATGGTCATAATTTTTATATATGTACTGTTTAAAAAGGACACAATCTTTGTATTTCATTAACATATGCCATTATTAGGTGGGGTTCCATAGAATTTAGAATACTGTACAACAATCCTACAATAACACGAGCAAGATGATCAGGCTTTTTTAAGATGGACAATGTACGTGAAAAGTTTAGGATGTGAGAGGAAGAGAAGTAGAGGACAGTTCCGTGTGTTTGTGGCTGCACGGCCAGGTGAATGAAGGTGACATTTAATTTGGTGGAGACTACCTGGAGAGTATTGGGTTTGAAGGAAGGGACATCACGTGCTTGCTTAGTTTTGGATGTGGACATTTTGGACATATATATTTGCCTATTAGACATCTAAGTGGATATGTTGGATAGGTAGTTATATATATGAGTCTGAAATTTGGGGGAGAAGCCAGAGTGGGAGATGTAAATTTGGGATTCCTCAACATATAGTTTTTAACACACATAAGTCTGGAATAAATTATTGAGGGTGTAAGCATAGAAAGAATATAGAAAAGAAGGCATCTGATAACTGAACCCTGAAACACAGTAATATTTAGAAATCAAGAAAAGGTTGAGGAATCAGCCCAGGAGACTGGAAAGGGTGACCACTAAAGGAGGAGAAACATCAGAAGGGGTCACGCAGGAAGGAGAGGAGAGGCCTCTAGCAACTGTGACAAATGCAGCTGCAAGGTCAGACCAAGTGTGAGTGGAGAGCACAGCCTTGGATGTAGTAACGCTTTGATGAGTGGCCTCTGCACAAGAGCACTTTGGGTCAGTCAGGAGACCACCACCCCGACTGGCTGGACTCGAGAGGGGAGGGGAAGAGAGAAATGGGGGGCAGGAGATATGGGCAATTCTCTTGAGGTTTCTTAGAGAAAGGAGGTAGTGGCCAGAGGTGGGTATCTGCCATAGGATGGCTTTTGTTTCTGATTTTCAAAGATGGGAGCACGTTTGGAGACTGATGGTACAGGAGAGAGGGAGATCCTGATCAGCAAAGAGAAAGCTGGAGTTTAGGGGAGAGACAGACAGATATAGAAGGGGAAATCAATGTGCGGCATGGAAAGTGCTAAATGAGAGACACACAGATGGGGACTGTGAACAGCTACTGCCACGCTTTAATGCTTCTCACTCCACCTATCCCATTCTAAGATAAACACTGTTTGTACAACAGAATGTATGATCTCTGTGACCAAGTGTGTGATGTGAGAAAGATCTTCCATAAGACAGCATAACAGCGATAGTGATATTTTTTAATACATGAAAATTGTTTCTACAAGTTTTTCTGGAAATTACCTGCTAAATCAGCAAGGAAATATAAGGCAGTTTCTCTCTTCCCCGTCCTTTTTATTTTGCAAATATTAATTCAAAAAACAAAACACAAAACAAAAACTCATTTTCTTCAAAAAAAAAAAAAAAGATGAAAAGAATGCTTATGACACTCACATCGCAGTTGTATTATTTTTTGTTTGTTTGTTTTCCCCTCTGATATAAATGGGAGCTGGGGGATGCTGGGTGGGAGGAAATCAGAGATGGAACAAGATGCAAAACAAATCATTCTCCCCGTTACTCTCCCTGCTCCTGCTGTTACATGATTCTCCCAGGCAGGCCTGACCCTCAGAGGTGGTGTTTAGTATGTATGCCAAAGTGAATGAATGGGTGAAAATTTAACTTGTATTTGCAAATATTTCTATTGGTAGTTTGATGAAAAGCTAAGAGTTTTATTTATTTTTTTTAATCCTGTATGGATGGTAGCAAGCTATTTTATTTTTCTAAGCCTTATCAGGTTACTCCCTGGATGATCTAAATTAGAAATTTTCTAATGTGGGTAAAATAAGGTGCTTTCTCGGTCTTTTGTGTTTCTTTCTCCCTCCCAACCAGACACACAGGCTCTTAGAATATAACATCCAATGTTGGGGGCTTACTATGGCATACACAGATGTCACATACTCGGCCTGAGAAATAGATGGATTGAAGAAAGAAGGAAAGTAAGAAGGGAGGGAGAGGAAGTAAGGCAGCCTTCATCAAATAATTCTTATGGAGCATGACATGACCACTGCAGGCAATTCAAAGAGAAAAAGGGTGCCTATTAAAAGAGACTGTATATACAAACACATGTTGTTATAAGCTTTATGATTATAAACATAAATATATTATGCTTTCAAAAACTTGAGTTGATGGGGTGGTAGGCCACACCTTCTTCCTGGAGTTGATCAGTTGTGATTTATTTATGGTAGTGCCTTCACTTCCAGATCATCTGTAGGGTGGAAGGAATCAACATATGGACTGGGGTAAGCCCTGTGTCCTATCTTTATTTTATGTCCTGTATTTACAAACACTGGTCACTCACTTATTATTTACTAAATGAACACTGATAGGACAAGAGCATGTGAAACAGCAGCTTGTGTCTTTAGAACACATTATAGAGTTTTAAAAATTACATTGATTTTGTCAACTTTTCCTTGAGCTATTATTAAACTAGTGGCTTCATGGAATCTGGAACTTGGTGAAATCTCCCATCTCTGAGAACCACATGTTTACACCCGTTTTCATTTACATAAGTTAGAGATTACAGAACATGTGTTGATTGGAAAACTGCTGTTACCTTTTATGTTATCTCAAAGTGGTAGACTGAAATACAAATAGAACCCAAGATGTGTTTTATACCAAATTTGGTCAAAATCAGTTCACACTTCAGAAAGTTAAATGAAAATTAAGCTGAAAAATGCCCAGAGCTAGACTGATGGAAAAAAACCAATCACCTCCTTTAAAAAATGGATGTGTGTGTGTGTGTGTGTGTGTGTGTAGTGGGTATGTGTGTGTGTGTGTGTCTCAGTCAGTTTGCATTATCAAAAGCATTCTTAGAGTCTGAAAGACATGAGGAGAGATGAGATGAAAGTCAAATGCATGGCAGGGAACATCCCCCTATATAGCTACCCTCTGTCCCTGAAATCCTAACAACTCTTCCTACCCATGTATCCTTCCTGCCAGGAAGTAGTGGCCATCCGCCCACCAACCAAGAAACTTGGAATCTTGACCCTCACCCCTCCTCACCTGCCCTATTTTGTGCCAGTATTGCATTACTTTTAAGTATATTCACTGACAGCTCATTTTGATGTCTGTAAGTTCCCCTTCAGTCTCCTTTTTCTAAAATCTTCTGGTTACATCTACTTTTCCACGTTAATTTAAAATCAGCCTCTGATTTATGTTACGGTAAAAATCTTCAGGAATATGTCACTGGAATTGTATTGTCGATACATGTTAGTTGAGAGAAAACTGTCGTTACAATATTGTTATCCCGTCTAGAGAACTGTGTTTTTTTTTTTTTTTTTCTGATATCTCAAAATGTTCATAATCTTCTTCAGTTAAATTGTATAGTTCTCCTTGTAAAGGTTTTGTACATTTATGATAGGGTGTCATACAGAGAGATAATGGATAGTATATATATGCATACTTAGTATCTATATAGAATACTAGTGTATTATAAAACATATTATTAGATACTAGTATATACTTGATACCAGTATATACTAGCATTATATATATATACACACACACACACACTCTTTTTATATGTTTTTTCATTGCTATTGTGTAGGCATTTATTCTGTTACATTTACAAATTAATATCTGGGATGGGTTGGGCATTTTGAATTTGTGTTAGTCACTGTACCACATTTTCTTGTTATTTTTAAATGAAAAGATATTATTTCAGGTTTTTTAGGACAAAAAGTCAATCATCCAGGAGCAACAAAAACTTTGTCACTTCATTTTCAGTAGTTATTCATCTAGCTCTTCATCTGTCTGTTCTTCTCAGTTGACTGGGACGTGCAGAACGGTGCCGAGCAGAGACAGAGCATCCTTGTGTTATTTCTGGCTCTCATAGAAATGCTTGTAATGTTTCCTTTTTAAGTGATATGTTCACTATTGATTGCTGGCATATGTCTTTGTCACATTAAGGAATTTTTCTCCTCCTAGTTTACTGAAGAGCTGATAGTTCTTCACCTTTCCCGAGTTCACCCATGAACATGCCCAGACTGGCCGCAAGCCCCCTCTCACGTTGCTGTGCTATGGTCTCCACTGGGATATGCTTCCAGCATCTCCACCACTGCCTGCCAGTGTCTCCTCTGCTCCAGGCTTTCCTTGACCTGCTTCCTGTGCTAGCCCAGTCATCCCTCTTCTGCTTATTTTGTAACTGTTTTCGGAAGTATCTGACTTTGTATGAGACTACAAAGTCCTAGAACCCAGGTCCTTAACTATTCATCATTGGGTTCCAAATGCCCAAGACCCTGATACTTGTGCAGTAGAAACTCAGTGAAAATTGTTTTTATAAATGAACAAATGAAGGAGTCATTGATAAGTTTTTCTATGGATAATATAACAAGTAGGTGGTTCCTCTGAACTGGATAATACTTTATTATTATTACGATTATTATTATTTTGATAGAGACGGAGTTTCACCATGCTGCCCAGCCTGATCTTGAACTCGTGGCCCCAAATGATCTGTCCACCTCAGCCTCCCAAAGTGCTGGGATTACAGACATGAGCCACTGTACCTGGCCTGCTTTATTATTTTTTGTAATTGCTTTCTCTGCTTCTTCCATTTTGTCTTTGTTTTTGTGAGGACATGGTCCTTTGAAAATATGCCAGCTATTTGAAAAGAAGGAAAAATTAACAAAAAGCTACATTTACTGTGTTAAATCTTGGTAGCCGAATATCTGTTGTCATTGCTTATCAAAGCCTAGGAGAGGTTACCCTTGAATATTAAAACATAGTTTATAAAAAATTTATATTAAAATGTTTATATTAAACAATTTTTTAAATTGTATAAATATATATTAAACGCTTAAATTGTGTTTCCTGTTCAGGGAATAACTATTCGACCACTGGTGGAGTTTCTTGATGTCAAGAGGTCCAATACGAAACAACAAGCTGTCAGTGAAGAAATCTACTGTCGGGTAGGTGTTAAGAAAGTGTAATACCTTTAATGATAAAGGAAAAATATTTGAATTAGTCAGACAGCTTGGTACCAAGTTGTCCATTTCCTGAAGAAGAAAGGAATGGCAGGGTGACAGGGAGGAGACCCTGAAGAGGGAATGTGCTGAGGGAGTATAGAATAGATATGGCCCCACGGTAACTTCTCCAGGTTAGCTTGCTAAACTCCTGCATGAGTAGAGAGACAAGAAGATCCCTCTTTTTACTTCCCTCAGTCTGGAAATGTTCCTACTGGGAAATTATTACCATATTTCATACTTTTCAAAATTATTAACAAACTGTTATAGGTGAGCAAAATAATCGAAGACTTATCTAATACTGACATGACAAACATTTCATCAATTTGTGTGAAAATGAACTGTTTTATTGCTTTTGGTAATAAATCATAAACAAATAAGAAGCAAAAGCCATGAAGGTCTTCGGAGTTTAGAAATGATCTAAGTAGAGTGAAAATTATTGATTTCGGGTAAAGACTAATCAATTGGCCTGCTTTTTCTGTTTTAGTTGTTTGATCATGTGAAGACTGGAATTGAAGATGTTTGTGGACATTGGGGTCACAACTTTTGGAGAGACAAGTAAGAAGGTCTTTTGGGTTATGCCATTGGGTTATGAAGTGGCCCAGGATTCCTCTGAAAGCAGGACTTACCGATTTGTATTATTTTTTAATTGGAAATCTTTCCTGTGTTGTACCATAGTATGTCCTCTAAGATAAAGTTCAGCTATAATAGAGATGTGGAATAATAGTAGCTTAAACAAGGTAAAAGCTTATTTCCCTCTTCTGTAAATAGCCAGAGATAGGCAATTTACGTTTAATAGATGAGTTTTACTCCAAGACTCCCCAGGGTCTGAGGACCCTCTGTCTAGTCGATCCACTAAGAGTAGCCTTCATTTCCAAGACTGCCTCTTGAACCACAATGGCTGCATCAATATTAGCCATTAGAGGCAGCAAGAAGGATGAAAGATGATGAGGAGACAAAGTATATGTGCTATTAATAGCTGCCTTCTAACTGAAACCATCAGAAGCTGCCATATGATTCTTCTGATGATTGGCTTGGACTCAGTCATGTGGCTATTCCTCTCTGCAAAGAGGACTGAGGATTGCGATCTATTTGGCTGAAAACTAGGGCTTCCATTACTATCCATTTTTCCACACGTGGTGCAGGACTTTGTCAAATGCAGAGATTGAGACCATCTAAGCATGTAAACAGATGAGCAGAAATATATATATACATATATATATATACACACACACACACACACATATATATAAAATTATCTGAAAAATTACATACATTTATATAAATGCATATACACACAGGCGCACACACACACAAACACACACACAAACACACACACAGAGTTTACTACTCTGTAAAAGGCTCTGTGTTGGATAAATACAATTCAGTACTGGTCTTCAAGGATCTTAAAGTTGAAGTGGAGAAGGTAGACTAGACAGGCAGAATTAGATGCATGCTTTAATATAAACTGAGAAACAGCGTCATGGGTCGAGAAGTTAGGGCCAATTCTGACAGCAGAGCTAGGAGCAGTGGGGTAGAGAAGCCAGCCCCCACCTGCTAGTGGGACCTCATCACGTACCTCTCTTCCTGACTGCACATTTGGCACTGTCCAGAGTGGTTGCTTGAATCAGGGCTTACATCATGGAACTTACAAGTGCTACAAATCAAGGCCCTTTGTTTTCACAGAGCAATTTGTTAAACATTTATTAGCACATCACTGGCTAGGCGAGACTTTCGAAGGCAGCATTTAAGCTAATCCCTGAAGACAGAAGAACGCGTTTTAAACTATATTTGGTAGATCAATCTTGTTTTATTTTTCCTAACTTGCTAACAGAACTTTTTCCCTCCACTGCTAATTTATATTAAATTTACTAACCTACCAATGTCTGCAAGTTAACACAAGGGAATTTTTTAGTGTTTCCTGTTTGCTCATATATGCTGGCATAATATTGGGCTACATAAGAAGTACAAGCCATAGACTCAGGCCTGAAATTCTGTAATATTATAGACACAACAAAGCAATCACACAGCAAGCAGACTCCTGTGTGTGTATATATATATGTGTGTGTGAGAGAGACCATTAGGTAATATAATGAGTGACAGAGACTTTCAGTGCTAGAACAGCCTTTACGAGCTTTACAACACTGTTTACTAATGTAGACAGGGCCCTGGGACTCAGCCTTACTATATAATGAAAGGAAAAAGATTTTGTTTGTATGGAGAGCATGCCCAATTAGCTACATGGGAACACAGGGTAATAAAATTAAGCAAATTATATTCTCCATTATAAAACAATTTTTAAATGGCCATTTCTCATGGGAAGTACGTCCTTTTCTGGAGGCAGGTGGTAGACCAGAGATCCTATACATCTGCCCTATGACCGTGGGACCTTCATAGCATGGAGGAGTCCTCGTCTGTGCCAAGTCAGTGGAACAGACCTTTTTGCCTCTCTTCTCCACTGTTTTCATAGCAATGCCTATTTTCTGCCTACCTTGTTCCTTTCAACCCAACCACTTTCCTCCCTTTCCCTAGCATCCCCTCAGTATTTTCCTGAAATGACATACGAGAGATGTAACCCAGAACAGCTGGCTCCCTTTCCAAAGTGAGTATTAGGTTCAAAATGTCTACTGCTGCTCTGCCTCCCACAAGGGGGAATAGAGATTGGCCTCGCACAGTCATCAGGCCACCTGGTCCTGGGGCACTGTCAGAAGAAGGAAGAGGTAGATGCTGTGGTCATGTGGGTTTGGTCTGGAACTCAGGAGAAGAAATGTCAGAGAAAGTCTGGCTACGTCTGTCTTTCAGGCAGAGACATTATCTCTGGGGTCCATGAGTCTGCCCTAGGAACACATCCAAAGGCTGCCAGACTAATTGGCTGTAAGTGCTAAAGATGAGAGAGCCAACCTTGCCCCATGCCTGAAAGGGAATGTTACGTGGCTAGCATTTGCCACTGCAGTGGATACACTTCTTTTAATAATTTTGAAAGCATTGATGTATTTCCGTGCACAATTTTTTTTCCAGGAAAATTTCAGTTTCCGGGATTGTCAAAGGCACACAGGTAGAGCAGGGAAGTGGGTGCAGCGGGATGTGGTGCTGACACAGGACATTTTTAAAATGAATTCTGCTGAGATCACATCCTTGGTGATTGTTAATGTTACTAAACATCAGCATCAAAAAGAAGCGATTGTTTCAGGCATGTTGAGTGTCTTTCCCTTTTCTCTGGAATCCTTATGCTGTGGATTTCCAGTGGTTCTGCCAGAGAATTCTTGAGGTATTTGATCCTTTGAGAATGAAGGGGGATACGGCAGGGACCCTTCTCAGTCTTGGCACAAGCAGTCTAATGATGGTGAAATAGAACACCTATGTGTAGCTTAGCAGAGAAATGAAAGGCGTGGAACTGAAGCAAGGAAAACACACTATCACTACACAAAATAGAGCAGATGCCATTGTCCTTGGTGCTTGTTCTTCCTTTTACTTCTCTCTAGTGAAAAGCTCAAACAACAACAATAATAAAAGTTTGAAAAGGTGTGTTGCTGCTAGGAGTCCTGGCCCAATGGGCCTAACATAAAACTCCAATTAAAAGTAGAAAAAAGTAGACCCAATCTTTAGTGGCCAAAAACAAAGCACATTCAGGATGGCTCTTCTTTAATTATTCAGAGCCCTCTAGTATTTAGAACAAAGGACTATCAACAAGAATGTGGGTTAACACTGATTCCTTTCATGGCACAGGTGTGTCTATAAACCTCCTTGGACTTGTGGTGACCACGTAGTACACTTAATTCTTTCTCAACAAATATTTATTGCATGCTGCTTCACTTATGTATTGACATTATAATGTTGTGTAACAAACCATCCCCAAAACTCAGCTGCTCAGAACACGTCATTATTATTAAAGTGCATGAGTCAAGAGGCTGACTGGGGTTGGGCTTGGCCAAGTTGAGGCCGGGCTTGTTCACGTGCTCCAGTGGGTTGGCTGGCTGCCCGCTGATTCTGGCTGGACCTATCTGGTGTGACTGGGGTGAGGTGACTCTGCTCCATGTGACAGTCACCTTTGTCCTGGGACTAAGGAGCCACTCTGTATATTTTTCTAATAGTGATTGTTGAAGCACAAGATGTAAGCCTCCATGTGCAAGCCCAGGTTAAGCCACTGCTTCTTTCATTGTGTCTGCTAATAGCCCACTGACCAAAGCAAGGAACATTATTGAGCATGCTGGCAAGGAACAGGGCAAAGCAAGTCATCTAGGCCATGGTGGAAGGCCATTGCCAAGTAATATGGCAGAGGATGTGGATACAGGGAGGACGTGGGACCAAATCATTCATTCTACCACATGTGCTTATAGTGTGGCAGGCACTCGTGATATGGAAAAAAAAAAAAAAAAAAAAAATGCTGCCCATGTAGACCTTACATTCTTGTGCCAGGAGACAGAAAGTAAGACAAGTACATTGTATGTCATGCTAGAAAGTGGTAACTACTATGGAGAAAAATACATCTGGGCAGCGAGATGGGGACTGCTGGGAGAGGAAGGCTGTGTGCAATTCTAACAGGATGGATAGGAAGGGCACTTTTTGAGAAAATGATTGTCAAGGAAAGACTTAAAAGAAGTGTAAAAAGTGAGCCCTGCCGGTATCTGGGGAAAAGGATTCCTAGTAGAAGGAATAGTAAGTATAAAGACTCAGAAATGGGAGCACTGCTGGTAAGTCTTTAATACAGGAAGGACACCAGTGAGGTTGCAGCTAAGGAAGAGGGGCACAGTACCAAAAGGGGCAGACCCAGATTGTGTAGGAAGTCACAGGGCATTGTACTTGTACCCAAGGAAGATGCAGAACAGTTACATCGTTGGACATATTTTAACAGGAGCACTTGGGCTTCTGTAGAAATGCAATGGTGGAAGTAGAAATGCCAATTAGGTGCTCACTACCAGAATCCGGTGAGAGAGAATGATGTTTTGGACCAGGGCGATAGCATTAGATGGGGTGGGAGATGGCTGGATTTTGTATATATTTTGATGGTGGAACCAACAGAAATTGCTGATGGAGCAAAGATTTGGAATACTGGTCTGCTAGGGCTGCCATAACCAAAGTACCACAGATTGAGTGGTTCAACAGAAATGAATTGTCTCATAATCCTGGGGGCTAGAAGTCAGACATCAAGGTGTCAGCAGGGCTCATATCTTCTGAGGGCCATAAGGGCAGGTTCTGTTCTACGCCCCTCTGCTTGGCTTGTAGATGGCTGTCTCCTCCCTGCCTCTTCACATCATCTTCCTTCTCTCTGTATGTGTTGGAATCCAAATCTCTTCTTTTTGTAAGTGCACCAGTCATTTTGGATTTGGGCCCATTTTGATGGCCTCATCTTGACTTAATCACTTCTGTAAACACTAGATCTTCAAATGTGGTCACAGTCTGAGCTACTGGGGATTAGACTTTAGCATATGAATTTTTGGCGGGACACAATTCAGCCCATAACATACAACATGAGAAAAGTAGAAGAATCCAGGATGACACCAGGATTTTTGACCTGGTGGAGTCATCGTTCACTGAGATGGGAGGACTCTGGCAGAATGTCAGTTCAGTTGGAATATGTTAAATTTGAGATGCCCCAGAGCTATCCAGCTGCAGATGTTGAGTAAGTAGCCAAAAGCTCATATCTGGGGTTTGGCCGAGAGGTTGGAGCTGGAGATACAAATGTGGGGGTCATTGGCATAGAGATGCTATTAAAAGCTAGGAGACTGGGCAAGATGGTGATGGGAGTGAGTGGCGGTATGAAAGAGAACCAAGAACTGAGGCCCAGAGCACTCCCACATTAGGAGGTCAAAAGAAAAAAACAAAACAGAGAGAGGGTGAGAAAGAGGTTGGTGTACCCCAGGGTGGTATCCTGGAAGCCAAACGAAGACAATAGTTTAAACAAGTGAGGGCAGGAAAGATGAGGATTCATAATTGCCCACTGCAATTATATCATGTGGTTCACTGACCACTTTGATAAGAGTAGCTTTAATGCAGTATTGAAGCAATGTGAATGTTCAAGAGAGAATCAGAGGAGAGGAATTGGAGAAAACAAACAGTGAGAACCTTTCTGAGCCATTTTGCTAAAAGCAGAAGTAGAGAAATGGTAAAGAGAGAAACATATGTATTTTAATCTGTAATTAGTGAATACTAGATTTATGTGCATCAGGGTCATATATAAAAATGTAGCAGTATGTGTCATATATACATATATGTGTATGTGTATATATACATATCTGTGTATGTATACATATCTATATGTATATGTACATACACATACATGCATACATATGTATAATACACACACACATGCATATGTGTATGTGTGTGTGTATATATATACATACACATACATATGTATATATACACATACACATTTATACAGGTAGGCACCTACTAAATATATAAAATGACCAGATTAGCTAAATGCTGCTACTAAGTATTCTCCTGGGAATGGTGGAAATGACTTTATTGGTAAAAACAACAACAATTTTCTTAATCAATCCAGTATTAATTTATTGAAAGTTTCTTTATTTACAGGTTTAAAAAGTTTGATGATAAATATCTGCGGAAGCTTTTGATTCGGGAAAACCAACCAAAGTCAAGCATTGTATCTTTATATAAGAAGCTTGAAATAAAACATGCCATTGAGATGGCAGAGACTGGGATGATAAGTACTGTCCCTACATATCCATCTCTAAAGTAAGTATGGTCTTGCAAAACAAAAGTCAGTATTGCTAAATATGCATTGATAGTATTTTGAAACTAGTAATAATAATTTTGAAAATTTGACCCAGGCCAGGTGCAGTGGCTCATTCCTGTAATCCCAGCACTTTGGGAGGCCGAGGCAGGCAGATCACTTGAGGCCAGGCGTTCAAGACCAGCCTGGCCAACATGGTGAAACCCTGTCTCTACTGAAAATACAAAAATTAGCTGGGCATGATGGTGTGCACCTGTAATACCAGCTACTCAGGAGGCTAAGGCATGAGAATCACTTGAACCCAGAAGGCAGAGGTTGCAGTGAACCGAGATCGTAGCACTGCACTCCAGCCTGAGTGACAGGGTGAGACACTGTCTCAAAAAAAAAAAAAAAAAAAAATTGACCTGTGCCCTAGAAAGATGTCTTAAGATCTCACAGCAGAATGAGATTCTGGTTAAAATATGAAACCTTAGACATGTGTATGTTACGTTATTTTATATGTTTTATGTCCTGTTTTGTGTTATGTTATTTTAGACCCTTGAGAGAAACAAGATTAAATTACCCAGGGAGGAAAACAAGGATTATAAAGAGCCTTAAACTGCTTCTATGAATTTTCCTAAACAATATCCAACTGATAAAAAATAACCAAATGTATGAGTAGACAAGAAAATGTGATTTAGGCCAGGCGCAGTGGCTCATGCCTGTAATCCCAGCACTTTGGGAGGCTGAGGCGGGAGGATCATGAGGTCAGGAGATCAAGACCATCCTGGCTAACACAGTGAAACCCTGTCTCTGCTAAAAATAAAAAAATTAGCTGGGCGTGGTGGCAGGCGCCTGTAGTCCCAGCTACTCAGGAGGCTGAGGCAGGAGAATGGTGTGAACCCGGGAGGCGGAGCTTGCAGTGAGCCGAGATAGTGCCACTGCACTCCAGCCTGGGTGATGAGCAAGACTCCGTCTCAAAAAAAAAACAAAAACAAAAAAAGAAAATGTGATTTAAAACATTAAGAAAAAGAAACAAAATAGTTGTAATAAGCATAACAGGAATTCAGATAACTGAATTATCAGACAGACTTTTAAAGTATAAAATGTGTGTGTGTGTGTGTGTGTGTGTGTGTGTCTGTGTCTGTGTATGTTTAAGGAAAGAAAATTACATTGAAAGTTTTGGCAATATCATGGAGATTATTAAATGGAAATTCTTGAGCTACAAACAAAGTAACTAACTTTATGATCTTATTTGATGTGTGTAGCAGCAGATTAGACAGAGTTAATGAGAGAAATGCTTAATTAGAAAATAGGTAATAAGGAAATAACCAAAATAAAGAAAAAGAGAAAAATACAGAAAGCTACATATTGAGTGCAAAACAGATAAATTAAAGACAATATTACTAGAAGAAAAGAAATACTCAATATTCTTCAATTTTAAATTTTCCTCAAGCTGATATTTGGATTCAATGACATGTCATTCAAAATCCCAGGGTGTGTGTGTGTGTGTGTGTGTGTGTGTGTGTGTGTGTATGTTTAGATCAGTTGGTCCTAAAGTTTTAATGGAAATACAAAAAGTCAAGACAATTTTGAAGATGTACAGACTTGGAAGGTTTACATTATTAGATAACAGGACTTCATATAAAGTTACATGATTAAGACAATATGATATTGGAACAGGACAGATAAGCAAGCCAGTGGAACAAAATAGTTTAGAACAGACCCACCAATATATGGAAATCTGATTAATGACAAAGTTTACAGAATAAGCAGTGGGGGAGAAAAGATGCCTTGAATAAATGGTTCTGATCAATTAGGTATTCATATGAAAATAAAATGAAATTAACCACTGCCTCACACTATCAAGTCAAGGTATACTGTAGATCTGAATGTGAGAAGTGAAACAATAAAGCTTTTGAAGATTCTGTAGGAACATACCTTAATGTTGTGATAGGAAATTACTTTTTTTAAACAAGCTCCAAAAAGCACAAGCTATAAAGAAAAAGATTGATATACTGAACTGTATTAAAATCATGAGATTTTGTTTAGCCCAATACATCCTTAAAGAGGTGAAAAGGCAAATCACAGACTGGGAGAAGATACTTGCCTCACATAACTGACAAAGGGCTACAGGAAAAAAGACAATCCTATAGAACAATGGACAAGGAACTTGTTCAGACACTTGATAAAACAGGATATGCAAATGGCAAATAATCATGTGTGTTCTAAAAAACATGCATGTGAATATTCATAGAAGCATTGTTTGCAATATCCAAAAATTGGAATTTAGCCAACTATACATCAACAACAAAACAGATGAACTGTGGTATACTTATACCATGGAATATTATACAGCAGTGAAACTGAATGCATTATAGCCATATGCAATAACATAAATGAATCTTCAGCATAATGCTCAGGAAAAGAAGCTAAATGCAAAAGACTACGTATTATACTGTTTCATGTATATAAGGTTTAAGTTCAGGCACAATGAATCTATGACATTAGAAGTCAGAATAGTTATTACTGTTGGCAAAGAGGGAGAGAATTAGTGATTGGTAGGAGGAACATGAAGTAGTTTCTGGGATTCTAGTGAATGTTCTGTTTCTTGACTTGAGCAGTGGTTGTCTAAGTATGTTCACTTCCCTGAACATATAAGATTCGTGTAGTTTATATTACATTTTATAAAAAATTGTTTAAGTATAAACAGGGATGTAGTCGTACACTTGTCACTAGATGTATGCAAAAATATTTTGGTAGGAATTTGGTGTGCACATTATATAAGAAAATGAGATATCAAAAAGATAGATCGTTACTTAATGACCTCTTATATTCCTTCCGACTCTGAAAATCCGTGAATTAACTTTGATGATCAAAAAAAAAAAAACCTGACTAGAAAGTGGGACAACTGTCTCAACAACACCACCTTTCCCTGAGAAAATGCTTCTCATAAACCATCTGAGCAATTGAGAGGAGGCAAAAATGAATCATCCAACTCTAGAGAAGTCTGTCCCGCCGAAGCATCAGTTCTGTTTGCTCCTCTCTGTGTATCCATTACCCACTGTGCACCAGGTTTTGTACCCAAGTAATTACTTTCATGATTGGTTCACAGCAATGCTAAATTTGCATTGAAAAATACAAGAAAACTATGCTCTTTAATTTCTGTGTCCTCAGTGCCTCTTCTAGAAGACTTGCATTTATGCATATTAACCTTCCTGGCTTTAATTTGTTTTCTTGATTTTTCTTTTCTCTTTATTTTCTCGTACTACATATTTTTGTAGCCTGCCTCAAACCCTTTTTTGGAAGGAGTTAGAATAAAAACATGTAAATGCAGTCCCAATGGTCATTCTTTGCGGTGGTTACATTCCATAAAGTAGCCTCAAATACTGATACGCAAATACTGAAAGCTTTTTTTTTTCTTTTTTTGAGGCAGAGTCTTGCTCTGTCACCCAGGCTAGAGTACAATGGTATGATCTCAGCTCACTGCAACCTCCGCCTCCCGGGTTCAAGAGGTTCTCCTGCCTCAGCCTCCTCAATAGTTGGGATTACAGGCGCCCACCACCACGCCCGGTTAATTTTTGTATTTTTAGTAGAGACTGGGTTTCGCCATGTTGGTCAGGTTGGTCTCGAACTCCCAACCTCAGGTGATCCACCCCCCTCATCGGTCTCCCAAAGTGCTGGGATTACAGGCGTGAGCCACTGCACCTGGCTGCAAATACTGAAACGTTTTTCTATGGGGACATACAACATTAGGTTCCTTTGAGCCTCTGGTCACAAAATTTTCATCAGCCAATCGATATGTAACCTATTTTATGTATGTTTATGTTTACAGATACCTTATTTAATATACATCACTAATTCACTGACATTGAATTCATGGTCAAGAACACTATAAACTCATGTATGACCAAGCTTACTTAACACATTTTCTCTGTAAGGCACATCACAGGCTTCTTGTGCTTGGGAACTCTAGACAGCACTTCGGCAATGCCTGGGGGCCATTTAAAGCAGTAGAATCACCAATAAATAATGTAAAAATATAAATAATCATAGCGCTAAATAGACTGTGAGAAGGACATTATTTATAGTACGAGAGTGGAAACAAGAAAGCAGATGCCTCCTTGTTCAACATCTTCAGGGAAAGTGTGTAAAATGACTCAAATTTTTTGTCACTCTGCATATGTCTGTGAATAACTGCAAAAATACTGAAATTCTGATATTGGGTTTATAAATCAATACTAGCAAGTAGGTGAGTTCATGATTATGGAACCCACAAATGAGGATTGACTGGATATACGTACATGTTATAAACGGTGTGTTTGCAAATATTTATGATGAGGTTTTTAAAATATGAAAACTTAATGGTAAATTGAAGTCAATTAGGTTTCTGTTGGAGAAAACTATTCTATTTTACTTTATTTATGGAGTGTTAGAAATAATAAAGTGAAGTAGCATTATAAGCCATTGTAGTTTTTCTTCCTTGAAAATATAATGACATGAATAGACTCTGAAAACTTGTGAATTGTTAAACGTGCCATGAATGATTTTGAAACTGAAATAAGAGTTACAGAATTTGGAATTATTTTAAGTTACTGAATAATCCCCAAGGGCTATTTTTAAAACTGAAGACTCGTCTTAAATACTTATCGCTCTAAGGAAGAAAATCAATGATTCTAATATTTGTTGAAAGGTAAAATATTCTTTTTCTAAACTTTCACAGTGATTGTCGTGAAGAAAAAATAAGGAGGGCCACATCTACTGAAACTGATGAAATTCGAGAACTCCTATCAAGAAATCTCTATCACATCCGTCAGCGAGTGAGAATAATTTATGTAGCAAAATATTTACTTACCGTTGGCTAACAGGACGCCTTCTGGTTTTGCGCTGTAATTGGAGACTGCACCATGACACTGGGCTCAGCAGGTCCCATGCTGGGCATCTTCTCTCCTTCTGCTTCTCTCCACCCTGCTTCAGGGTCTTACTATCCTCCTGGACACCATGGCTGAAGCCTTGGGGTCCCCTGGGAGTTCTGCTGCTGTGCTCTTAGATATAAAGAAATGCACATGTAGACTAATTTTAAAGAAATGAATTGATTGCTGTTTGTTTTAAAGAAATAGTTTTATAGCTTAGACTTTTAAAATGGAGCTCACCCTCCTTGTTGTTTATAAAGTGCTATAGTTTCTTCTCTCCTGAGTCACTTCTTTCACTTCGTTTCCATTGTTAGCACCTTATTCTAATAATTTGCTAACAACACAGCTAAGGAATAGAGAGTGCCCTCAATTTTCCAAGCCCCATTTCAGTGTGTTGCATGCGTTAACTCATTTAATCCTCCAATGAGTGGTAGGTGTTACTGTTGTCGCCATTTCACAGATAAAGAAATTGAGGCACAGGGAGGTGAAGTGGCACTTGGGCTTGTCAGGAGTCCTCCTCACTCATGTGGGGGTGTTTCAGCAGCTTCTTAGCTGGTCTCCCCACAGGGTGTCCCCATTCCATCCACATGACTCTTACCTGACCCTTTTTCCTACAGTACCTTTTAATTTAAAATGAAACAAAACAATAGTTGTGGCTCCCAAGCTAAACTATTCATTGAAAATTTGGACTCTATTTCCAAGTTCCACTTTATCCAACCGTATTTCCACATCTCCCTCACCCATGTGCTCCCTGAAACACCCAGGGAGTGAGAGGTTCTGTTTTTGTACTTTGGCCCAAGTGGATTTCTCACTATCCCCCGGGAACATCTCACACCTTCCTGTCAGCTGGTCCAAAGCCTCCAGTTTTTAAGGCTCCCCCAACAGCCACCATATTATTCCCATCCTGTGGTTAAATGGAATAGCACTTGGAGCTTATACGGTACCATGTAGTTGCAGCACTTATTTCCATGATTTTGTATAATTGTGTTAGCCTTAGATGCTCAATGAGATAGTAATCTCCTCAAGGCAGGAATGAAGCTTTGTTCTGTGTTACGTTTGCATCTCTCAATAGAACCTAATATATTTCTGGACATGGGGATATTCCCAAGAAGTACATGTTTATTCTATCAGAAATGAATTTAATTATTTATGATTTATTTTAGGAACCACATTTTTATGTACCCTATAAAACTAAAAGCGGATGCCATGTACAGCCCTGGTTTAGGAATTTTATTTTTCAAACACTGGAAGGTAATCATTGTGAGGAGTGTCACCAGCTCTCTTCATGTGACAACCCAGTTGAAAAAAGGGAACGTTCTGAAGTTAGTCAGAAGGGCATGGCACCACCAAGTGGCTCAAAGTGGTTTGTTTTTAACGTCAGTAATTCCTATTCAAAAGAGGCTGTAGCATGGTGACTTGTATTTTATTTCCAGATGTTAATGATGGCTAAATACCTACAAGAGACATCAAGGTAGACACGGCACTTGATGAAATCAATCATTTTTCTCATTTATGAAAATCACACTTTTCAATGAAAAACGAACCTTATGATCTGACTTTTATTGAAGGATGAACTATGTGGCACATACCTGTAATACCGACTTGGAAGGCTGAGGTGGGAGAGTTGCCTGAGCCCAGGAGTTGGAGGCTGCAGTGAGCTATGAGCGCCACTGCATTCCAGCCTGAGTGACAGAGCAAGACCTCAACTCTAAAAAAGAAAAAGAAAAAAAAAAAAACACACAAAATGAAAAGAAAATATAAATTCTTTGAAGATCTGAAAACTGTTTGTTAATTTTTATACTCTTAATTTTTTGCTCTGCACAGAAGTTGTAAGTGCTTAGCTGAGGTGCAGATCCAAAGAAATGTGGTAAAGTCTTGGAATTTCTGGGGAAATGATCAGGTTTTTTTTTTTTTAATGTCCTCTATGTGTTTCATTTCAGACTTTATCCTACAACAGACACAGTCTGACTGCCGACACAAATGAGAGACAAGCCAAGGAGATTCTGATTCGCCGGCGGCACAGTTTGCGAGAAAGCATTAGGAAGGACAGCAGCTTGAAACGAGAACACAGGGTAACAGAGTGTGTGCCTCTGGGAGACTTCCAGGGGTGGAGCCAACAGCCCTTCCATTGATCAGCTGATGGTCATCATCAGCTCTGCCAATCAAGTGGCTGTTGACAGTTCTCTGAGAAGCTGCAGGAAGGCCAGGTGGCTGGGGGATGTGAGTGTTCGCAGGTAGTGTGGCCAGCATTGTAGTTGGTTCAGGGAACTGTCAATAAATGAGGAAAGCCATTTAAAAACAATATTGTGGGCCTGGTGTGGTGGCTCACGCCTGTAATGGCAGCACTTTGGTAAGCCGAGGTGGGTGGATTGCCTGAGCTCAGGAGTTTGAGACCAGCCTGGGCAACATGGTGAAACCCCATCTCTACTAAAATACAAAAAACATTAGCTGGGTATGGTGGCATGCACCTGTAATCCCAGCTTCTTGGGAGACTGAGACAGAAGAATAGCTTGAACCGAAGTGGAGATTGCAGTGAGCCGAGATCGCGCCACTGCACTCCAGCCAGGATGACAGAGCGAGACTCCGTCTTTTTTTTTTTTTTTTTTTTTGAGACAGAGTCTCGCTCTGTCGCCCAGGCTGGAGTGCAGTGGCCGGATCTCAGCTCACTGCAAGCTCCGCCTCCCGGGTTCGGGCCATTCTCCTGTCTCAGCCTCCTGAGTAGCTGGGAAGGCGCCCGCCACCTCGCCCGGCTAGTTTTTTGTATTTTTTAGTAGAGACGGGGTTTCACCGTGTTAGCCAGGATGGTCTCGATCTCCTGACCTAGTGATCCGCCCGTCTCGGCCTCCCAAAGTGCTGGGATTACACGCTTGAGCCACCGCGCCCGGCCGAGACTCCGTCTTAATAATAATAATAATATGATATATTGGCTTCATGTAGCAAGAATTGAGGCTTATTTTTAATAATATCCTATATTGGGTTGTCAGAAATCAAAATGGTTATATGTGAACAAGGAGTTACTTTATGTGTAAAATGTAGCAGTGTTAATTAAAAGTTAATTTAAAACACTAGTGACTGCCGTACTTGAAATGCCAGTAGGCTGTAGTAATACTTTTTGTTCTATTAATATCATTTTAAAGATTTATTAAAGTAAAAAAAAAACCTTACATATATATATTTGTAAACATATCTTCTTCCCCATAAGTGTAGGTTCTAAGTCTTTCTGGCAGTACTTTTATACATAGATGTTTCAGTAGCTTTTCTTTGAGAAGAGCCAGTGGTTTTCATATGTGTTTCTAATTTATTTCCCACTTATTTCTATTTCCCTTTGTAGGGATCTCCATTCTATTTTGGAAGGGATTTAATTATTTCAAGTTATAACAGTTACAGCCCTCCACAAAGTAATTTTGGAATCAGGAATTAAAATTCTGGTTTTTATCATGAAGTTTTGCCATACAATTTTTAATCTTTAATATACAATAAGTGCCACTTGTATCATTTAAGTACGATTTTATATTTTACAGGCTTCCACTTCAACCTCCCGATATTTATCCTTACCTAAAAATACAAAGCTTCCAGAAAAGCTACAAAAGAGGAAGACTATTTTTAATGCAGGTAATGAATATAGTTGGAGCTGAAAAATTTTAAATTTATTTGCCAATGTTTATAAACTAGACAAATTTTCCTATTATTTTTCTTCATTAAGCGTGAGTTCCAGAGTTTGCAAATCTAAAATAATAACTGGGTGAATTTTACTCCGCATTGCAACGTTTTGGAAAGGCATTCTGTGCAGATTCTAAAGAATCCAATCAGTTATTTTCCAGCAAATATTGTCACCATGGGGTTCAAGGGCAGGTAAACAGAAAGTTGTAATTCTGCAAATGTTTAAGTAATTAAAATTTTAAAGTAATTCCAATATATTTTCATGAAAGCAGCCATATATTTATTCTGGCTATAACTATAAAGCTTTGTTATAATGTCTAATATCTTTTTAATGTGATAGTTATCTTTATGTAGACACCGAAGACATTGTCTGTGAACCCCAGAAGAACTATATTAGGATTTCATGTTATTAAAATGTGGGATGTCTAAGGGACTTCATGCAGAAAGAGAAAACCAAATACCATATATTTTCACTTACAAGTGGGAGCTAAACATTAGATACACAGGACACAAAGGTGGGAACAATAAACACTAGGGATTTCAAAAGGTGGGAGGTAGGGAGCCGGGCAAGGGGCAAGGGTTGAAAAATTACCTGTTGGTACTATGTTCACTACTTGGGTGATGGGATTTTTAGAAGCCCAAACCTCAGCACCATGCAATATACCCATGTAACAAATCTGCACATGTACCCCTAGAATCTAAAATAAAATTTTCTTTAAATGTGGGATGGAACAATCATTACCCCTCTTTTTTTGGTGGGGGGGCTTGCTTAATTAACTGTGAAGAGGGAAGTCTAAATGATGGCTGATGGTAAAGGAGGGTGAGGCGAGAATAATCGGGGGAAGACAAGGCAGCACTGAGTATTTAGAACAGTGGCCCTTGGTCCCACCAGCAAACATGCTCTCAGTTCCCAAGAATGTCAACTCCTGGACAAGCATTTTGTTCACTGCCTTACCCACAGCGCTCCAGCACCTGAATCTGGTTCCAAAGCTGTCTCCTCCCTTTGTTTGCAAAGGGTTTTGGCCCTTTTGTGGACATGTAAAGGAAATCAGCAAAGCCGTGTTTGAGGTTCCAGATCAAGGCAAGAATCTTCTCCATGGCATGTGATTATCAGACCGCCTGCTGTGTGCCAGATGCCAGGCTGAGCCCTCCTGGGATCATCCCTGTGGGGCAGATGAGCACAGCTGCTACTACCAAAGGGGCTCGGTTGGAATCCCAGCTCCACCACCTACAGATACCTCTTGAACCTAGTTACCCCATCTGTAAAGTAGGTGATTGTGAAGACAAAATGGGCTAACGCATTTGAAAAGACTTAAGACAATGCCTGGCACACAGTAAGCTCTTCAAAGTTAGCATGAATATATACTTGTGGGCATGGGTGCTCGCAGGGGTTATGTGAGATGCACAAGGCCACTCACCTAAAATTAGCACAAGCCCGCTAACCTCCCCTCTCCCCAGAGTCCCAGGACGTATCAGTTGCCTGACCCACTAAGGTACTGAAGTTTCTTGCAATGCCTTCTCTCTAAAATGCTTGCCCACCTTGTCTTTTGCTCCGTGATAGATGGCAATAGCAGTGACTCAGACACAGATGCCGGGACCACCGTGCTCAATTTGCAGCCCAGAGCCAGGCGCTTCTTGCCAGAACAGTTCTCCAAGAAATCCTCCCAGGCCTATAAAATGGAATGGAAGAACGAGGTAGATGTTGAATCTGGCCGAGAGAAGCCCAGCACCCCCCCAACACCCCACAGCAGAGAAAAGGGCACCCAGACGTCAGGCTTACTACAGCAGCCCCTTCTCTCTAAAGACCAGTTTGACCCAGAGAGGGAAGACAGTTTGACTGAATGCATCCCGCCCAAGCCACCACCACGGTTGGTCTGGAGGGCATCGGAACCTGGAAGCCGGAAAGCCAGATTCGGGAGTGAGAAGCCTTAATAGAAGCAGCCAAAGCAGATGTGAGTGTCTGACCCAGCACAGCTGTGCTTTGTTACTCTGAAACCCGACAAAACAGTGGAATCCATGAAAACTCTCTGTGCATCTAAATACTTCCGGGGGGCGATAGATTCATGCCACGGATAAATGAGGCAAATCCGAAGAAAAGGAAAATCCAATAAAAAATAGTCCCACAAAATGCCTTTTGTGACTTACAGGTGGCAATTGTATTATTTGCAGGCCTGAAAAAAAAAATGGTAATGTGTGCCTTTATTGAACTTGAATGACAGAACTTGAAATTTTTAACACACCCTTGTCGGTGAAGATTTTAATATATTACGTATGTGCTTCAGATTTTATTTATGAAAAAATATGTATATCTGTAATCAGTCGTTAAGTGAATGGCACTAAAAGTATCGAGAACAGCTTTCTTTCCCAGGGGAGAAGGATGGCGCTTGGGGGTGACTCCTAAGCTCAGGGTGGAAGCTTTTCCCTGTCCTGACCCGATGGAGCAGCTGGTAAGTGAAGAGCACAGCTGGAAGCAGAGACACCTGATGACTCAAACTGGGCAAACAATCAGAACGTCATCCTGAAGGAATGGCCTGACTCCCAGAGCGCAGATTGGAGGTGCCAGGACTCCTATGAACTACTGAGAGTCTATTTTTTAACTTGTTCCTCTGTCTACTGTGTGTTTGGGGGTGACATCAAAATTCCATTTCTTCTTCTTGTTTAAATGGGGCAGAGAGAAAGGATGCCCAAGTATCCACCAGCTTATTGTGTTGACAGATTTGGGAGCAGCTTTTGATGAAGTTCCACCCATGAGGGTCCATGTGGCAAGTGGGGGCACAGGGCAGCACCTAGTTACAACTTGCTGGTGGGTTTTATGTTGTGCAATAGTAGGAGGAGGAGGCAGGTGATCTATGCCGATCTATGATCACCTGCTTCAGCAGAATTTTTCTGTAGAGTGATGCTTGAATTTTGAGCCTCCAGGTTAGAGGCTCCAAGCAGACAAGGAAGAAAGTTTATAGATACAATATTCTAAAGTTTAACAAGTTGAGTTGGTGAGATATCAAGTTTTGAATTTTATTCGGGAAGCACTTTGGAGAATGTGGGAGTCCTACTGTTTTGCACTAGTCTGTAATTTGTTACCTCTCCGCATTCGATAATATAGTAACTCAGAATTTTCATATAAAATTGAATTATACTCATTGGAGTACTTTTTAAAAGTACAGCAGAAAGAAAAGAAGTGGAATATAAGCATTAAAGATTAGTATTTGATTCTCTATCTCTTAACTGTAGATTTTATTGGCCTGTCTTTCTTCTAAATAATTCTTTAAAACTTGACTGGAACACGCTCTGCATTTCTGAGTGTAGAAAGTAAATGAAGCCACTCACACAGTCCTTTGATTTCCCACTGAAGATACCCCAAAGGATGCAAGTGCCTACTGTATTATCAGGAGGGAAACATGAAAATCTTAAGACAAAAATCCTCAGAAGTGGTTTTCCACCCCTTCACCACCTCCACCAACAAGGAGAAGTAAATCTACACCTTTTTCTCATGTTCTAAAGTCTTAGAATACTGCTGGATTGTCAAGCATGAGACACAGCAAAGGTTACATACACAAGGTACAAGTTCATAGGAACACAATTCCTTGATCCAGGGAAAGTAGCATAGAATGCAATTTGAAAACTACAGGCTTAGGACTTTGTGCCAAAATCTCTATTTTAAATGAAAATATTTATATATATAAATACATTTATTCTGCTTAACATAAATGAAAACTGACATAAAATTTTATAACATGATTCATCAAGATATGTGATGTAGATTTTTGAGAATGCCAAAAATCAATTTTCAGAATAGCTACAGTATGAAATCTGAAAAGAAATACAGAAATTGAAAGTGACCTTAAAGAATAAATTTCCTCATTTTTCCTGGTTTCCTATGTTTATAACTATTTTAAAGAGTTTAACTTTCTGGAACTGAAGGGGAAAACATGAAAATGTTTACATCACTTCTTGTTAAGCAGGTAGACCAAATTCAGCTTTCAGTAATTCATACATATAGAATTTGGATGACCATGTATAAAGGAAAACTTAAATCTTAATTACTATCAGTTTTTTTCTTGTTTGTTGAATGACAAAGGCAAAAAAAAAATAAATTTGACTTTGGCTTTTTCTCTATACTTTCTTCTTTTTGTAACTCTTAAATTCTAGTCACTAGTCATTATGAAGGAGAGTATTGACTAAATATTTTCATAATCTAAATACTGTCACAATCTAAATTTCTGTACTAGAGAGAGCCCTAGTCCTTTGAAAAGCCCTTCCTTCGTCCAAACAACACTTGATCCAACCAAAGTTCCAATGTGACTGTAGATTTTTGATAGGTCTTTGGTGTTGGTTGTAACAAAATTTGATTTGAACTACCTATAAGTGAAAAGTCGGGGTTTATTACTTTATATGTAATGCTAAGGGGAGACTGTTGGGAACAGTTATGTCAGTGAGCAAACTAGAAATTGGCTTCAAAGTCTGATACTTTTAAAAGCATGTGTTTTGTGCGTATGGTGAAGAGATTTCTTTCAGCTTTTGCTCAGCTTTATGGTGGGGTGTATTATTTTACCTGGGCAGGGAGGGTATTGATTTATATAAAAACTGTAGAGAAACACAGTTAGTACAAGTCTCAGCACGTTTTGCATTTATTGTACTGCCCAAATTGTGTTTATGTTAAAAGTCGTGTTTCATAATCTGCAATATTTTTGTCAAAGTGCACACTGTACTTTCTTCTTAAAAATGTGATTAAAGAGATCACTTTGTCCGGATGAAGCAGCTGTTGGCATTATCTGCTGAGGTTTGACCACCACGTGCTGATTCTCTCATCAATCTGAAAAAGAACACTCTGGCACACACGAGGTTAAAGTGTGTGGCTCGCTGCTACTTTTTATCCCACTTTTTAACCAACCCTTTCTTCAACCCCCTTCTAAGGAAAGCAGAAGCCCCGTTTGGTTACCAGCTTCGTGGCATAACCATGGCTCCTCGTCCCTGACAGATGACACCTTCCTTTAGAATCCCCCCAGCGTCATCCACTCTGTGTCTAGCTGACACCCTCAGATGGGTCAGCCACCCTGGGGCTGTGCAGGTCAAATATGCAGATGGGGACTTTGCAGACCACTTCAGTGTCACGCTGGCACATCATTTTTTGATCCTTTTTCTTTTTAAACTTCCTGCACCTTTTCAGATAAAGTCATATCTTACTAAGTGTAGCTAATACACTGTAGCTTTGTTCTCTTAATTGCATGGTCAAGAAATGAGTTTTTCTAGGTGTAGAGTTAACCTGTCTACTGTGAATGGATTATTACACACTTTTCAATCTACACAGCATATGGATTATGTTGATGACTCAGAATGTATTCTAAGACCTTTCAGTACGTGCAGAGGTTGTATGGGAATCTGTTGTTCTTCTACTGGAGGGTATAGAAATGTCACTGCATGAGATGCCCAGCAGACACAATACCGACACAGAGGCTGTGATTTTTCTGATTTCTGGAACAAAACATCTTGAATTAAAAATTCAAACATTTTTATCCTTTTTTATGTTATTGGCTCCTGTTGATTCATAAGTATGACTGGAGACTAAATTTCTAATTTAGATGAAGCTGTTTGTATCCAGTTAGGATAACCTTGCTTACCAAACGAATTTTGTATATGTACATGGACAAAGGAAATTTTTCCTTGTTTCTATGAAAAATCTTACCAAAGTTTAAATATTAAATCACATGTGGCCGGGCGCGGTGGCTCAAGCCTGTAATCCCAGCACTTTGGGAGGCCGAGACGGGTGGATCACGAGGTCAGGAGATCGAGACCATCCTGGCTAACACGGTGAAACCCCGTCTCTACTAAAAAAATACAAAAAACTAGCTGGGCGAGGTGGCGGGCGCCTGTAGTCCCAACTACTGGGGAGGCTGAGGCAGGAGAACGGCATAAATCCAGGAGGCAGAGCTTGCAGTGAGCTGAGATCCGGCCACTGCACTCCAGCCTGGGCGACAGAGCGAGACTCCGTCTCAAAAAAAAAAAAAAAAAAAAAAAAATCACATGTAAACCTTTAATCACTTATGGAGAAAATGGTACATACGTGAAAACAGAACCGTCCCAGTTTTTATATTTGTGTATGAAACCACTCTCGTTTGTGTTGAATGGGATTGTGATGGCTAAAATTCTTGAAAGGTAAGAGCTTCAGAGTGTTGAAAATTTCAATTCTTTTAATTCCAAATGCATATATCTCAGACTAGGCTAACTCTATTACAGTGTAACAGAACCTGATTAGAGGAATAAACATTTTAATTGGTTCATTAATTGTTATATCTAAAAAGGCTCTACAAAAGGGCTCAAAGATGGTATATGCTTTTAAACATTAAATACGGCCTTCCCATGCAAACGTAAAGAAAAAAAGTTAATTCCAATTATTGCCTTACCAAATAATTTTTAAAGATTATGCAAAAGACATGTATTAACACATCAAATTTTAGGTTTCCATGAATACTTTGGCATCTGATTAATAAACAGTGGATTTCCTACCATAACCATATCTTACTATTGAACCTTTAGTTTAAGTCCTTTTTTACAATAAAGTAAGCTAGAGAAAAAGTGTTAAGAAAAAGAGAAAGAATATTATGAAGTGGAAATGGAATCATAAGGGTCTTCATCCTTGTCACCTTCATTTTGAGTAGGCTGAAGGGGAGGATTTTTAGCTAGAAAGTTATTTTGAATGGCAGTTACAGTTCATTCATTTCAGTGTTCCAGTTCATTTCAGTGTTATTCATTCCAGAGAGATAGAGTGAAGGTACTTTGAAGGTGACCCAAGGAAAATGCTCACCCTTGTCAGTGATGTCACAGACCGGGCCTGACAGATGTTAGGCTTTGTGATGGCCAGGCCTGTGCTTCAGCCCCACAGAACAGATAACTTAAGGCAAACGCCTACCTAGTCATGTACATACAGACCCACAAGGGTCCGGCCCCAGAGTCAGCGGCGGAACACCTTTATTAGGTTTGCCTTGGATATTTTATGTGGTTCCAATTTCATTAAGCAAACTTGGGACAGGTGTAGGTAGGTAAGCTCTCACACCAAAAACTAGTTCTCAGTCTGGACAAGAGGCTGCGTCTCAACTACTCAAAATGGCATGGGGATTCTTTGGTAAGCCTGAAGGAAGACTGTCTTCTATCCATGTTATCAGTTGCAATCATTAATAGGTATTTTAACCACTTTCTTCCCCTACAGTGGATGCTTTGAAAAAAGAACTGTATCAAGATGTAGAACTGATCAAAATGCAATGCTTTGTTCAAACAAGATCCTTACAGTTCATTCTTATGCTGTGTGAGTTATCAGCAATAATTAACACTCCTTCCTTAATGTTTATAATTAATTATCTTCTCCCTGGAAGGAAGAATACAAGCTGTGTGAAGTCATTTTAAAAAATAAGAATCAGTGGCCAGGAACCGTTGCTCATGCCTGTAACCCTAGCACTCTGGGAGGCAGGCAGAGGTGGGTAGATCGCCGGAGGTCAGGAGTTTGAGACCAGCCTGGCCAACATAGTGAAACCGTCTCCACTAAAAATACAAAAATTACCCGGGCATGGTGGCAGGTGCCTGTAGTCCCAGCAACTCGGGAGGCTGAGGCAGGAGAATTGCTTGAACCCAGAAGCAGAGGTTGCAGTGAGCCAAGATCGTGCCACTGCACCCCCGCCTAAGCGGCAGAGTGAGACTCCATCTCATAAATAAATAAGAATCAGTAACGTTCCTTTTATTGAATCAGGAAAACAGAAGTTTTGCTTTTATTGTTTTAGTAGATAGCTATCTATAAAATGGTGTTTAGATACCTGTTTGGGAAAAATAAGAGACCTAAGTATTTGTGCATCTGCTTAACTAGAAATAAATCCTATTGTGAGACGTTACCTTAAAACTACAGTTGACCCTTCAACAACACAGATTTGAACTATACAGATCCACTTAAATGGGGATGTTCTTCCACCTCTGCCACCCCTAATACAGCAAGATCAATCCCTTCTCCTCCTCCTCCCCTTCAGCCTACTCAAAATGAAGGTGACAAGGATGAAGACCCTTATGATTCCATTTCCACTTAATAATATTTTCTCTTTTTCTTAACACTGTTTTTCTAGCTTACTTTATTGTAAAAATATAGTATATAATACATGTAACATAAGAATACATGTCAATTGACTATTAATGTTGCTGGTAGGGCTTCACGTCAACAGTAAGCTATTAGTAGTAAATTTTTAGAGAGTCAAAAGTTACACTCAAATTTTCTACTGTTTTGGGGGCTTGGCACTCCTAACCCCTGCATCGTCCAAGGATTAACTGTCCTCTATTTACTGGCCCTCAGTATAAATATCAGATTACGTATATATTTGGTATCTGCATAATGGTTTTAAAAGCCAAAGCCTTGTTTTTACTATTATGATGTGTTCTAGCATACTGGAGATTACATTTTTCAAAGCACTTCTGGATCCTGAATTGAAATACGTGGCAAGATACATCAGTAACTTCTAAAAATACAACTTATAAGAATAAATGGGCCGGGCGCGGTGGCTCAAGCCTGTAATCCCAGCACTTTGGGAGGCCGAGACGGGCAGATCACGAGGTCAGGAGATCGAGACCATCCTGGCTAACACGGTGAAACCCCGTCTCTACTAAAAAAAAATACAAAAAAAATTAGCCAGGCGAGGTGGCGGGCGCCTGTAGTCCCAGCTACTCGGGAGGCTGGGGCAGGAGAATGGCGTGAACCCGGGAGGCGGAGCTTGCAGTGAGCCGAGATCGCACCACTGCACTCCAGCCTGGGCGACAGAGCGAGACTCCGTCTCAAAAAAAAAAAAAAAAAAAAAAAAAAAAAAGAATAAATGATAGTACCTCATTACAATTATAAAGGAGTTTTTTTTTTTCTTTTTTTTGAAGAGAATTATCATGTGACTGGCAAATTCAAGAACAAATAATTAGGGCTGAAAAAAAAATTATTTTAATTCACCAACCCGTCCCAAGAAAAGCTGTGTCACACATCATCCTGGCTAAATCTGTGGTAACTCTGTCTTAGAGACTTCATGAAGGCTATTATGAAGTTAGGTTTTGGGGGCAAAGAGGCATGGAGATTCAGTCTCACATGGCTTTTATTCCAAAAAAATGGTTTTCTGAATACAGTTGCCCAAATACCTACAATTTTCTGACTTGGCTGATTCTCACTCCTGATAGATTTCTAAATATCTTACAGAAGTGTCTTCAGGAAAAGATGCCAAGCAACGAAATTCCTCAAAGCTGCGCACTCAGCACCTGGGAATCACTCAAAGCCTCTCCTGCAATTTCCCTGAGGGCCACAACCTCTGCCTGCTGTCCCTGTCCTCACAACCAGCTCTCCCTCAGGGACCCCCTAAAGTTACTGCCCCAGAGTCCAGACTGCTCCTTGGGCCCCCAGTGAATCCACCTTGCTGTGGCTGGAGAGCTCTTTCTAAAACGTGTGTCTTCAGAGCACTCTACCGCAGGAATTCTTCGGTCGTTCCCCTTCATCCGTCAATACAATCTCAACCCCTGAGCACGGCAGCTGAATTCATTCTGAACTCCGTGATTTCCAACTCCAGATGTTCACAGAAGCACCTGGGGTGCTTCAGAGTCTGCTTCCCGTGGTCTAAGGCATGCAGCCAGGATCAGAACTAGTGATCCCAGCTCCTTCTGTTGGTCCCAGGTGCAACTCTTGCAGAATTCACTCCCCAAGGGGCCATCCAGCCTGAGTTTGGAGCCTTGCAGGTGACGCCTGTGACCAGGCACACCCTGTACCTTTTCAGAATTTTATTCATCCCTCTAGACATGAGGGCAGAGGCATTCCTTCCGCTCTATGGAACCCAAATCCCAGAGACCTGTTCCCAAGCAGTTATGGCTCGCAGAATGTTGGAAAGGGTGACATTTCCCTCACAGACATTTCAGGAAAGTTCAATACTTCTAACACAAGATCCCATAGAATAGTAAGTTGAACCCTATGAAGATATTTGTGACTTACAAAAATAGCGACTTCATGTGGCTCAACCTGACACTTTGGAAAGGGCTACAGAAGTGATTGAAGAGAATTTAAAAAACGAACCACCACAAATGTTAATTGAGCAGATTTAATTTCCCTGAGATAAATATTCCATAAGTGAAACAAATGCTACCCATTAGACCAGGGGTTTTCAAAGTTTACTGTGCAAAAAATCAGCCAGGTATCTTATTAAAATGGTCCCCAACACGTCTGAGCTGGAGCTTCAGCGTTCGCAGGTCTCACAAGCTCCCACGTGATGCTGATGCTCCTGGTCTCTGGGTCTACACTTTAAAGTAAAAGGAGTCATGAGAAAAGGTGTACTTAAAAAACAGCACCTAACAAAATACTAAAGTCAGTAGTGGAGAATAACAAACATGTCTCTCTATTCTATATTCTAAGATCAGTCTTTGGTTTTCAATATTTCCATGTGTCTGATTATAAAGACTCATTACGTTTATGGGCTTTTTAAACTTCAGAAATAAAGTGCTACGATTTTTAAAATAAAAACA